GTCCTGGCATTAAGCGGTTCTTATTTCAAGTCACAAATGTTTTTTAGTTCTGCAGCTCTGCTAGAGCGAGCTAAATTTCCTAGCAGAGGGTTATTACATAGGGATGAACAGTTGCACATAATTTTTGTGGGGGGCGGAGGGGGAGCATTTGTATCGGAAAGCAGAAAAAGCAAAAGCAGGAAGGAGCAAAAACCCTTGATGCTTTATTCCCCCTCCCCAGTTTCCCTCCCGCCCCCAAATAGGTCATTGTGAAAGTGCAAAACTATTTATTTTGCTGCATTAAATGAGGAGCATGTAGCCACCGTTTTGACCGCGTGTAAGGCAAGTGCAGTCACTGCAATCTGTGGCGTTGGCAGCTCGTTTTATTCCATTTTTTTAAAGTTTGGATCCGTCCCTTGCCGTGCCGAGGAGATAACAATGCCGCTCATTGTGCGAGCTCTGCAGCTGCTGAAATTTGACTAGATCCAACCGCAGAAAACAGGAGCAGGTGGGTCACCGCTGCGACCCTTTCGTTCCCAGCAGTATCACTGTGTGCTGGGGCCCGGCGGGACCCGTGGGCCGAGGTGACACCGAAGTTTTAGCCCTAACGTGGAAAACAAAACGCCAAGGAGATGTTGGCTCGTGGTTTGGGTTTCGTCGGTAAGAGACCCCAAATGTTTCTGACTGTTGCAGGATTCATGGCATTTCTTGTCACTTGTTGAAACCGAATAGGCTTAGGCAAGTCTGGATGTCTTTCCAAAGCCATCAGGCCTGCAGAGTATTAATTTACATGATGAATTAGCGTTATTAATGGCTGACAGCTTTATTTTCTCCCCCCCCTCCCCCCCAGTATGCTATTTAGTGGGGGCTTTCTCATTTTTACTGCAATGCCACAGGCAGCATGTAAATATTCATTTAAAAAATGTTTTAATTGGGTTTGGCGTTTAATCTGCAAACTTGATGTTTCCCTGTGGAAACAACTGGGTCATTTTCTTCGATTACTTGTGTAACAGCAGGGCTTTCATCGCGCTCATCCATTTTCAAGTCTCAAAGGGGCAGAAAGGATTCAAATACCTGACCCTCCTTGTAACTCAGTGAGAGATGAGCATTTAACTACCGTAAACACCTTGGCACATCTGCACGGGAGCTACGGCCCCAGCTTTAGCCTCAAGTACTCACAGTCATAACAAGACAGGAAGCAAAGGAGATGATAAAGAACATTTTGCTTTAGCTATTCAGTACTTCCCATGGGTTCCTGGCTTGGAGTTTGTCAATCAAGTGTTTTCCTGTAAGCACCAAGTACATGCGTGGACTTTGTTGGTCATGGAAGGGATGCTTGAAGACGATGCTTAATCTCCGAATATAGCAACATCCATCTCTAGACAAAAGAAGTCGGTGGTTGTTTAGCAACAGCCTCAGATCTTCGTAAGATGGCAAACGAACCGGGCCTTGTCTGATGGAGGCTTTTCCAAGGTAGGTGGAGGAGAACAACTGCTCATAACGTCAGCAGTTGGGAGAAATGGAAGTCATTTGTGAGGCTGCTGTTGATGGATCTCATAATCTTGCTCTCTGCTATCAGTTTACAGTAAGTGAGTTTGAGAAGGAGCAGGACTCCCCCCTTTTACATGCCTCTGTATTTCTAATTTGGGTCTGGAGATTTGAAAGAGCGTGCTCATTGTTTGGAAAGTCTGCAGGGCTTAGCTCATGATGTTCAAAAGTGAAGAATGACGTGCACAATGCTCAGCTAATGCTGCCATCCCGTGGAGGGGGCACCACAAAGGTGGGGGGCAGGTTTCAGTAGGGGGGTCTACCTAAGCCCTACAGTTCAAATGTTCGTACTTGATTTGCCTCCCCCCTCCTTGCTCCCCGCAAAGTTTGAGTTGTTCGGATTTGGGGTTTTAAGCCTGACAACATTTCTTAGTTTTAAAGTGAAGCTTGGATAAAGAAAGTGATGTGGATGCAGAAGGGAAATGAAAGAGGAGCCAAGTACAGACAGACTAACCTGCAAAGGTTGAATCAATTCAGCCTCGCAGTTTTTGACTAAGCGGCGGAAATTGGACCGCTCAGCAAGTGAACAGACATTCACTTTTGATTCCTGAAATGCAGCCATGTGCCTGCAGTGGCCCAGGCCAGAAGCCGGGGGGCGCTAGAGCATGCCGCCCTGCTGGGTTGGAGCAGACCGCTTGGGCCAAGGATCCCCTGCAAACGCCCATTCACAGGGTAAGTGCAAAGCATCCTGGGATGCTGGGGGACTGTGAGTTGACTTGAATCTGGAGGGGATCTGGGACAGAAGTTTCATAAACCGATTTAACCTAAATCAGTTCAGTCTAATACTGATCCATCCAGGTTTATCTTAAATCGTTTTCAGCCATTTTGAAAGCAGTTTGTTTGCACTGAACTTCTTTTGGGTTGCAGATTTGAACCGGTTTCTGATCACTTATACCTGTTTATGCGTAATGTCTGTCCCTAGCCAGGGAGGCGCACGGGGGACAGGCAGGAATCCAGGCAGACTGTGGACAAGGGGAATGAATCTCCCAAGACGGGGAAGGATTGAACGGTGATCTAGTTCCAGGGAAGACCAGGCGATGGCAATTTCTCCTATTTGGCAGGTGGCCCAGGGCAAATGAGGTGAAAATTGGATGGGAGTATGTGAAAGCAGAGTCAAGGATGAAGGGAGGGGAGTGGGAAAGCTTCCACCAGGAGTGTGAAGGGGACAGGAGGCCTTATTTAAACCAGGATAAGTGTGCAAGGAACAGTCAAGACATGGATGGGCAGCAGAACAAGGGCCGGGATCATACGCACGTGCTATATAGTGCTTAATCGCCTGAAGAAGCAGCCTGGCGTGGTGCGGGGGTTGAATGGACATGGGAGCAAACTGGAACTGTTCAAGTGTTGCTGAACAGCGGACACGACACCTGTGGGGTCCGTCGGTGATGGAGAAGGAAGACCTGTGCTCACATGACCAACAGCTGGTATTGAGTGTGTCAAGACGGGGGCTGCTAATAAGTTAGGCTATATATGGGGGTATGTGTATACCTGCTCCCCCCTTTATCCTTGCCTCTGATTTCACATACTCCCATCCAATTTTGCATCTCATTTGCCATGGGCCACCTGCCAAATAGGAGAGAAATGTGGGTCTTAATGACTTTGTTTCTCAGCTGTAACTCAGCCCTGCTCTGAAGTGACTCTGCTTCCTATCCGACCATGCTCTGCTTCCTATCCGACCATGGGCAACCCCGTAGGGCACCGTTGCTCCGTCCGTCCTAGCGGGTGCAGGTCCGCTGGAGCCGAATGTATTTTCGCTGCAACCTGGACAGCTTCTGAAATGGAGCTGACCACAGCTTTGTCCTTGGCTGCCCTTGCAGTTAACTCGTGGTCCCTGCCAGCTCAGCTGTGCCCGATGCCAGGGGCCGTTGTCCGCGGCGGGTAATTTAAGAGTTTTCTAACAGCTGGGGAGCATTGTTTACTCTGTTGCTCATCAATAAGAAGGTCCTTCTCTCCAGTTGCATGGCTGAACCGTCTCCCTTTCCTGGCATGCTTCAGACCAGATTATACTGCTGGAATCGCACCCAGATGGCAGTGCCAGGATTCAAACTCGAGGCATTGGAACAAGAAGCCCAGGTGCAGCGGGCATTGATGCGCTTCTGGAGGCGAGCTACGTACCAAGAAGATCGGAGCGTCCTTTGTGTTTGGCTGTCTGTTTGTTTTAATATAGCATGATCTATGCAGTGCATAAGAGACACGCACCATTGAATCGCTGGCTTGATTCAGTGCAACTTCCCATTGCATTTTAATAAGCAAATTAACCTTCCCTTCTATCCTCCCAGATAAAATGCAGCGTTACCATGAGAAGGAAAACACACATCCATATCTAAAGCCCATTTAGCAATGTAAAGGCTTTTGCCCTCTTACCCACAGATCCAGCATGTATAGTATATGTCTGCGAGGGAACGTGGTGATTAACATATGAAAACGCTGATAACAGTAGGATTTTTGTGCAGGCAGAGGCGAACGAGATATACTGCCATTCTGGTGCCAGTTAGACCCATAACTGCTATTTGTTGCTGGGTTTAGTAACAATTAACCTTTCACATTCTGCATTAGCCATTGCTTTTCTGGTGCAGCTGCTTTTATAACAATATACTTTGCTTCTCTCAACAGAAGCACTAATTTTGGCAGTAGAGTGACTGTCCCCAAAACCACAGGATATAAAGAAATCGAATAGGGATTCTTAATAGATTATTCTTAGCACAACATTTTTTTTTTTTTTTTAAAGCCATTAAGTTTAAATTTAAAGGATGCTTTGCTTGTTAGACATAAAAATGAGGTTTCCGCTGTTTTTTGTTAACGTTTCTTCTAAACATATTTAACATGTGCGATCTCTTCTGCGCTCTCTTGCCAAATCACGGATGCTGGCCGTGCTTGGTCATTGGTACCTATCACCAGAGCTGGAAATAATGAACTGACTTAAAATCACGCGTGCCTTATTTACCTGCTTGACCGAAGATGAAGGAAAAAAGTTGGGTTAATGATTATGGACCCCAACATCTGCTCTCACTGGTTTCAATCCAGAAAAATCCCTTTTCCCTGCTTTTTTCCAAAGCATTATCACGTCCGGGTAACTCAGTGGTATTTGGTGCTGTATCTGCTTTCTTGAGATGTTTATCACTGGTGTGTTAGGCCATTTTCCTCGTAACAGTGCTCTAACACTCTCACATGGTACAGATGTTATCCAGGTGTTTTTCTGGCTTGGCTATTTTGTACATGGCCTTACAGTAGTCAGGGCCAGACACAACTATGGGTGAACCAGGCGGCCGCCCAGGGCCCAGACAGAAAGGAGGCCCGAAAATGGTGTTCGTTGTTATTTTGTCAATCGGAGCTAGGTTTCATTAAGTCCTAGCATCGTTATGTTCTGCTTCTTATACATGTATAATTCTTTGGAGGATAATATGCAGGCATGCTACAGCAAACCATTTCTTTCTTCTTCTTTTTTTTTTTTTTGTTGTGTGGTCACTCTTCAGGATGGGAATCTCAGCTCCTGGAAACAGGGTTTTTGGGAATATTCCTGTGCCCTCTCTGGACTCTGTCTCGACTGCCCGAACACACCCCGCCTTCCAAAATCGTCATCTGGGGATTTCGATGGCTTATTTTCAGAATCATGCTTGGAGCGGTAAGTGGAATTTTAAGCAGTCGTGTCACAAAAGAAGCTTATGGCTTTACATTTTATTAGAGAGGTTAATTCCAGATGCTTAATCCCAGTAGAAAACCCATTTGTTTCCAATAGCCACTATAATCATTTTTATTTTTTACGTTCCCTAGCCTAGATTTGTCGCTGGATCTGACAAAGAAGGAAGGAGGAAATACCTGGTGTTTTGTTTCACCGAGTCTTTCAGTTCCTTGCTGTTGATTTGTACCTTTTAATCAAATGAACAAATAAAGGACCAAGTGGGTGAATATTTTGCCCGCATCACAAATTAAATTGGAGGAAAAAAAGCTTTGACTTGAAAGGTTTAGGCCTTAAAGATACGATCAAGCGAACGATGAGGTTCTTGGGAATTGTGGTTTAATAGCCTGGAGGGTGGGAGTCCAGATGGTAAGTCCCAAATTCTTGACCTACCTCAGTAGTTACTTTTGCTCCCCCGTGCTAGCAATCAGTTCATCGCTGTCGGAGATCCAAAGGGAAATCCAAAGAAACTTGGAAGAAAAAGGGAAGAGAAGAAGAATAATAATAACAACAATAGCAATAATAATAGTAGTAATAATAGTAATAGTGATGATATGCTGCTTTCGCTATTATTATCAGTGTTATGACTGCTGTTTCTTTTGTTAGTAGCATTATTTATTATTAATTATTATTAATTACTAATAATAACAATAACTACAGCACTAAGAATAAGAATAATAGACTGAGCCCAAGAGGGAAATTGAGGATCCACGTATTTGTTCAGATTCTAAAAGAATCTCACCCGTCCTCCCCAAAACTCAAGTGTGACAAGTCTGTAATTAAAATTTGGCCAGTAGAAAGTCATTAAGCTCTTTATCCTCTGATTTAAATAAATGTGAGGTCAGCTGTGTTTGCTCTTAGGCCTGATGTTTTGTAGGAAGCATAGCCATTTTAGTAGCGGTGGGTTGTATGACTGGCACGCTGCGTTGGCTTCTGCTTGGGGCACTTACGTTGGATGTTTGCACAGCTAAATGAGATTTTCTACCTTGGGGCTTTTCAACCTTTTTAGACTTGAGGCACCTCTTAGTAGATTTGAGACACCCCTTAGAAAATGCCTCCTCTTAGTTTTCACTTGTTTTTTGACTCCAGAAAAAGCCTGAAGCAATTCCTCTATTGCAGAGAACTTGGAAAGGCCACAACGGGGCAGGCTATTTTTTTTTTTTTTAACACTATGGATTGCTATGTGGAATCTCTTTTGGATATATCTCGTGAATCTTGTTTGTTCACTTGAGTGATCACATGGCCTGGACCTGTGTCGCGTTTGAAAGGATGTCAAGGTGCCCCAGGATGCTGTGGCACCCGGGTTGAGAATCGCTATCCTAGCCTACGACATTGCAGCAGACTTGGTTGAAAAGAAGTTGCGTGTTTTACGTGTGCGTGTGTGTGCACACTACCATTGATCGATCAGCCTTCGCTATGTGCTCATACCATATAAATTTTTCTTTCCCCAGTGTGTTGTTGTGCAATGCTACTGAATTTCATGCATTTTTTTTTTTGCACATGAGGGAAGACCGATTCTGGCAATCTGTTGACTTGAATCCAAATGCATACTGAGAACGGGCGACGCAGCCGAGCGTAAGGATTCAAGGGTTTGAGTTGTGCTTGTCATTTCTCCGAAATGCTGTAAAACCTCTGGTTGAAACTTTACCGTAGAAACGTAAACGCCGTTGAGCATGCAGGATAGGATGACTTCTGCTTTGTGACATCAATCTGTGTATAGTCACATAGAGTGGGACCAAATTAAAAGATGGATCAAAATCGACATTGGCTTGGCAGGCAACCTCTGTGCAGCTTTCAAGTCTACCTAATCTCACAACTAAGGGGGCTTGATGTGTGTGTGTGTGTGTGTGTGTGTGTGTGTGTAATCTCCACTGTGCTTTAAAAGATGGAAACTTGGGCTTTTGAGAGAGTTGTCTTTTGTAGACGGAAAGCTTTTGAAGTCTTATTTGGCACTGCCCGAGATCAGAGGGCGAGACAGCTCGTGGAAGGAGCTCTGTGCTGGCTCGAACAAAGATTGTCAGTACGTCCGTGACAAAGAAGACATTCTGGCCGGGGTGGGGATAGGTAAATGGATGAAAAAGTGATTGCAGCCTCGCAAGATCCACCCTGGGGAGCCTTCCTGTTGGTGATAGATGCGGGGGGAAAGTGTTGTTAGAAAAATGACTAGCGAAGAAGGCCGATACATAAGGGCTGATTTCTCCTCCTTCCTCTCCCTGTACTTAAAATGCCCAGGCTAGTTGCAGGCTCAAAGCTCGATCTCTGTGGAGCTGCACCTCACCTCCCTGAAGCTCGTATAGGCTAGATTTGCTGTCCCCAGCGCCGGTGCCCGTCGGCTGGCTGTGCCAGACCACTGTGCCTCTGCTTAAATCATAAGCAGTGCAGACAGAAGTTACAAAAGACTCTGTTTTGAAACGTCTTCATCTGACTCCTTATGCAACGAGGGGTCAGATTTTCACCCAATCCACTATTTTGCACATCCGTGCATTTCTGTTTGGGCACGGCTCTCGACTACTTACTGCGGCCAGATGGGGTGAAAATCGTCACTTCTGTCTGCACCCAAGCAGAGCAACTCACTGGCAGGTAGGCTAATTAGTGTTGCTCAGCAGCACTAATTGACCAGGTGTTGCACCATGGCAGCTGCTTCTAGTGCAGGAGGGAGCCAGCCTGGATCATCGTAGCCTGCGGATGGGGCTTGGTACTTGCAGACCTGGCTGGAGTCGCAGGTAAGAGAGGGTTGCGGGGTAATTTATAACACTTGCAGCATAACAGGTTCTGTACAAAGGCTTCAGTTTGGCTTGACTCGATCCCAGTGACTTCCAGCCACCGGAGACGGTGACCCTTGCTTCAGCAGAGCTTTTCCCCGTCCTTTTTGGGACACAAACTTGAAGCAAGTTGCAAAATGAAACAGTAGTGTAGTGACATCTGTTCCACCCAAAACTAACTCCAACCCATACAAATCATGGTGGGTTTTCAAGTGGTGGGAAGAGCAAAGAGGCACGATATTGGACTGAAGGTTTCTTAAATGGGTGGTAATCCGCTTTGTTCTCAGCAGGCAGACCACGGCTTGCATTTTTGCTTTGCTTTCCATAAGCTTTTAATAAAATATCTTCTGAGCCTGAAGTCGGTTTTGTGGCATCCTGCTGAGAAAATTCCTATGTAAAGAAGCCCTCGGCACCAGCCAGTTTGCAGGTCAGTCACTTGGTGCAAGTTGCTCTGCGTTTGGGAGGAAAAACAAATCATTTCTTAAATTTCTAGCAGTTTACCTACGAGCATTGGGACTTGGTTTCCAACTAAAACTGAAGCGATCCCAAGCGGTGATTTTTCTGTCGCCAGCATCCAGGACTGCCAGGAATGCAGAAATGGCCATCAAATCCATTAAAGATGTGAAGGGAAGTTGGACTCCTTTGTCTGTGTAATGAGACGCTAGACATTTGAGGTAGCCAGAAAGCAAACCTAATGGACACGCATACGTCGACGTGAGCTTGCCAATTCAGACCTTTGAATCCAGCTTGGGATTTTTCTTTCCAAGAAACAAATATGCCTCTCCCTTTTGCTGGGCATGCCGTTCACTTGCTAGCTCTGTCGAAGAAGCAGGTGTGAAAACCATCACCTCCTCTCTAAGGCTGTCATTGCAGCCAGCAGCTCTCTTCCACAAAACACAGCATCTTTCCTGTTTTGCACGAGGCTGGATGACTCCATCCTGGACGAGCAAGAAGCAGAACAATTTTTCAACTCTCCAAACAAGCCTGAAGGCATCTTCATGGATGTTCTTAAAAAAAATACACTCAAATTATCCTCTGTTAATTGTTTTGTCCCTAATGCACTTAGGGGCTCTGGTGGACCCACCACACTTGGTGGTTCTGGAAGTCTGGAAAGCACCAAAATACCCTGGGCTAGTTTTGCTTACAGCCACTGTTTTTAGTCCTGTCTCCTTGACAGGCCATGCATCATGGTGACCTTCCTTTCGGCCAAAGAGGGTTGGACTTGGTCCCCTTTGAAGAGCGCCATTACTGGGCTAAGCATGTTACTCAAGAGATATCTAACATCCCTCTTCTTAGTATGAGCCCCCTGAAATATTTCCATTGACTTTCTGCCCCAAATGTGTGGTCGTGATCTTCTTCCCCTACATGGCAGAGTACTATGTCAGCCCTTCAGAGCCTGTTATATCATTGCAGCGGCTCTCTACAGCTGTATCGCCAGTATTGCTGGGATGGGACTGAAAGCCGTGTCCTAAAAATGCAGTTCTTTAAAGCCAGCTTGTCACCAGCTGTTTCCCTTGTTTTAAGGGTCTTTGAACCTAGGCTTAATTTAAAACAAATAAAGCCATACTTTCCCCACTAGGCCAGAAGCTGCCGTAGTGATGGGCTGTTTCGGGTCATATCGGGCACATCACATACCCTTACAAAGAGAGAGTAAGACAGAACAAGGAACTGGGTAGCCTGTTCTCAGTGATGACAGGACAAGGAGCAATGGGCTCAAGTTGCAGCAAGGGAAGTTGAGGTTGGATATTAGGAAGAAGTTTCTTACTAGGGGGGTAGTAAAACACTGGAACAGGTTACCTGGAGCAGTTGTGGGTGTCCATCCTTGGAGGTTTTGAAGACCCGGGTAGACTGGGATGATGCAGTTGGGGCTGGTCCTGCTTGGAGCAGGGGGTTGGACTAGATGTGACCTCCTGAGCTCCCTTCAACCTGAATTTTCTATGATTTTGCCTTTGGCTGCACAGGTACCATTGGTTCTGTGCGTCTTAGGTAGATGAAGATTACCATGAGGCTGGTTAACATATTTCTGTCGTAGGTTTTTTTGCAAAAGGGTCTTTTTTTTATGGACATGTTTTATGTATGTTTCTTTGGGATACTGAAAACCAGCATTTTCCCAGCACTTGCATCTAAAAATTGAATATTTCCAAGGGCCTGGTTGCCTTGCTAATGACTTTAGAACCACCTGAT